GAAATCCTCATTACTCGAGTGATTTCACATCCATTTCATGCTAATCCAACCATGCGCACGCACACAAAACCCAGTCCCCCACACCCCGACCACACCCCACTGGGTGTGTTTAAACTTATGACGAGAGTTATACCCAGACAGATTTTGCACTTGAGTCATATGATTTAGTGAGGAATGAAAAGTCTTGTCTTGTGCTGCACCAGACTCCGCTCCATCACCCAGCCCTAATCAAAACCGAAAGAACTGCCAATGCTGTAAATCAGGAACAAAAACAAAGTTGCTGGAAAATCTCAGCAGGTCTGGCAACATCTGTGAAGGAAAAAACAGAATCAACGTTTTGGGTCGCGTGACCGTTCCTCAGAGGAAGATCTCAGGAAGGATCACCAGACCTGAAACGTGGCACGGTGGCCCAGTGGTTAGCACTGCAGCCTCACAGCGCCAGGGACCCGGGTTCGATTCCAGCCTGGGACAACTGTCTGTGTGGATTTGCACAGTCTCCCGTGTCTGTTTGGGTTTCCTCCAGGTGCTCCAGTTTCCTCCCACAGTCCAAAGATGTGCAGGTTAGGTGGATTGGCCATGCTAAATTGCCCATGGTGTTCAGGGATGTGTAGATTAGTGGGGATGGGTCTGGGTGGGACTTGTTGGGCCAAAGGGCCTGTTTCCACACTGTAGGGATTCTATGAAAGTTAACTCTGTTTTTTCCTTCTCAGATGCTGCCAGACCTGCTGAGCTTTTCCAGCAACTTTGTTTTTGTTCCTTGTTTTTGACCCAGCCCTAATCATCGGCTGTTGAGGATTTTTTGTTTGATTGTTCTGCGAATTTTGAGCAGTGGGCTGTACTGCTGCCTCATGATGGGTAGAGGATACTGTGTGGGTCTTCTTTTTCATTAAAATTCAGAGATGCTGTAATGCACCACCAAATCACCCTTGTTTCAAACTAAAACTGTGGAGTATTTTTTTGTGACATGGTCGATCCTGTTCACCTGCTCCTTCATTCACACCCACTTAACGCCCAGCTGTATCTCGGTTTATGTTGGTCTTGCTATCAGGCTTTTCACTGAGCAGTTGTGCATGTTTTACTCACACAACCCACCGGATTAATCATTAGTTGTAGCAGGTTGTCTGCAAGGAATTTCGGTGTATATTGTTGAGGGGGAGTCCATTTGCTTTGGACGTGCGTTCCCCTGCTTCAGGACACTGGCTAACGTGAAGTAAATACTTGATAATACAAGCAGCTATTTGCTGAATGGGGTCTGATGTGCTTTGAAGGAAGACATCACCGTAGAATGATGCAACACTGGAGCAGGCCACTCAGCCGACCTACCTGTATTGCTGAGCTGTGATCTCTATGGGCTTCAGCTTTACTCCTTGTCGGTGGTGGGTGCTCATGTGCTTCAGTTTGTCTCCCAGAGTCCGGGTTTGAGCTCCTTTTGCATGAGAGGGTTTATGTCATTTCGCCCATCTATGTCTGGAATCGGGGTCAAGATATGCGTTCTTGAAATAATTGACTTTCAAAATACTTTGTCACAAACATCACCCTCTGGCTGTGTTTTGCAATGAGCAGGTGTATTGTGAATGCCAGTTGGAAAGAAGTAAAGCAACTTACATCTTTTTGATGGTAATGAGTGAACACAGCAGGGTGACGTTTCCTACAGTGCTGTCTAATCAGGGGAAAGCTTCATCTTCAAAAGTCATTAAGCCATGACAGTAAAAAACTTGATCAGTTGTGACCCAGCCAGTACTTTTCCTTTTTATTTCCTGCACCTACCCTCCTTGTAACTCGTTTTCTCACACTCTTCCCCCAACCCCCATTCCGCAGTCTCTATCTGTTCGTCAAACCACCTTCCTCTTTCTCCCAGTCTACTGACCCACTTTCTCATGCCTCCCTCTCCCTCTCCAACTCAAATCGCTCAGTCTACTCCTTTCCCCCAACACACATGGTTCCAGTATACAGCTGTACCCCAGCACAGTCTTCCTCAGCTTCCGTTTTCTCATTGCAGTCTCTGCCTCCCCCATCTTTCCTAATCCCCTTCCACCAATTCACCTTCTCCAATCTTCAGTTCTTCCCCTTCCTCAGACTCCCTCTCTGCTCTGACTCCTATTTTCCCAAAGGCTGTAAAGAATTGAGTGAGTACAAGTGTTTTGGATTTGCTGTGCCATGGCCTTTCATTGCTGGAAGCTGTCTTATCTCTGCTTGGAGTCCCTCCACTAGACTGGCTGACATTGGTAATCATCTGGGGAGTGGGGAACAAAACGAGCATAATGACCATCAGTTGTAGAACCTCATGGGATACAGTTATTGTTAAATTGTTCCCTCGTGGAGTTGTTGGATAGGACTGCCAGTACGTAAAGGTAACGTTGCCAAAGTCCCAGAGGGCCATATGGCTGCTCTCTTACTAGAGAGAATGATGACTGGTGGTGAGTTTAACCTGAGAGTTGCTATGCCTCAGGCAAGGAGCTAGGTTGTGATGGCAGGGCCTTCAAGGTAACCTCAGTTAGTGTGGGAATTGAATCCATGCTACATTGCAAACCAGCCATCCAGGCAACTGAGCTAACTGACCCCGAACCAGTGCATTACGGAGTTTGTGAAACCAGAAGGTACCCAGCTTGAAGCCATTTGGTTTGTCTCAACTGATCAGAAGTAGATTCTGTACAGTCGTCATCTAGGTTAGAGACAAAAATACATCTAGTCTTCCCATTCATTAGTACTAACCTCACATAGAGTCATACAGCATGGAAACAGACCCTTTGGTCCAACTAGTCCATGCCAACTAGGTTTCCCAAACTAAAATAGTCCCACTTGACTGCGTTTGGCCCATATCTCTCTAAACCTTTCCTATTCATGTACCTATCCCAATATCTTTTAAATATTGTAGCTGTACCTGCACCTACCACTTCCTCTGGCAGTTCATTCCACACACAAACCACCTTCTGTGTGAAAAAGTTGCCCCTCGGGGGTTTCCTTTTAAATCTTTCTCCCCTCACCTTAAAAGTATGCCCCCTAGTCTTGAACTTTCTCACCCTAGGGAAAAGCCCTTTGCTGTTCACCTTAATTATGCCCCTCATGATTTTATAAACCTCTTTAAGGTCACTCTTCAACCTCCTATGCTCCAGGGAGAAAAATCCCAGTCTATCCAGCTTCTCTCTATAATTCAAACCCTCCAGTCCCGGCAACATTCTGGTAAATCTTTTCTGAAGCTTCTCCAATTTAATAATATCCTTTTGATAACAGACTGACCAGAACTGGACATAGTGCTCCAGAAGTGGCCTCACCACCGTCCTGTACAACCTCAACATGACGTCCCAACTCATAAACTCAAAGGTCTGAAGTGAAGGCAAGTGTGCTAAACCCCTTCTTAACCACTCTGTCTAGCTGTGACACAACTTTCAAAGAACTAAGTACCTGAAACCCCCAGGTGTCTCTGTTCGCCAGCACTACCCAAGGCCCTACCATTATTTATATAAGTCCTGCCCTTGTTTGTTTTACCAAAATACAATACCTTGCATCTATCCAAATTAAACTCCATCTGCTACTCCTCAGACCATTGGCCCAATTGATCAAGATCTCTTTGTAATCTTAGATAACCGTCTTCACACCTTAAAAACTGCATGGGGGGGGGGGGGGGAGAAGGGTTTGGTTAGTTGTGATGCCTGCTATTGGTGGATAGCTTAGTTGTACGTGAGCAAAGAATCATTTAGCAAGTTAGCAAGAGGCTGTTGGTGTCCATGGAACTGTGGCTAACTCTGAGCTTTCAGAAGAGAATGTGAGGAAATTGGGAATGGATAAAGAAAAGGAGCAACAGTTTACTAAATGAACAATCCATATTTTATTATTGTGTGTGTGTGCTCCCTCTCTATATTTACCCACTTTATTCTGATCTTTATCCTTACCTGTTTAAAAAATGGAAGTGTTGTCCCTTTTGGCACCATGTTCTGTGCTGCTGGAAAGGCAAAATTTGATTCCACTACTGCCTGTTAAAATAGACTGACTGAGTTTGTGTCACTATAAAACCCCTCAAATGAGTATCTCTGACCAATAAGGGTCTCATTTCCTGTTCTTCCAAAAGCAAATGTGCATACTGGGAATGTGAAATGAGAACAAAGTGTTGGAAACACTCAGTCTGTGGAGAGAGAAGCAAAGTTAACCTTTTAGGCTGATAATCTTTCATCAGAATAATTTGTCAGCTGCTACTCTTAACATCCTGTGTATGATAGTCTACTCTCTTAAAACATAATAAATGAATTCATGTAGTTTACACCTCCTCCAGAGATGATGCAGAGATCTCTCTCTTCCTATGATGACAATATTGTTACCTGAGATTCACTGATATGTAGGGCTGTTCTCTGTGCTTTATTGTATGTGATCTCGTTTGAACCACTGTTAGACTCTCTGATTTCCATATTCTCTGTGTAATGACATGGGAGTATGTAAGCATGAACCCGACAGGGAGGTATAATCTGGTTTTAGTTTTCAGCAGAGCCCCTTCCTTCCCCCACTCCCTTCCTTCCTAGTTGTGTGAGCAAGCTTGTGTTTTGGCCTCAAGCTGAGTTCCCCTCGTTCGATTTGCAAAGCTCCCCATGCCCCAATCTTTGTGTTGCAGTGTGAAACTGTGACAGCAAGCATGGGCGGGTGAGAGGGCCTTTCAGTGTTAGAAAACCATTGACCTTAGCAAAAGGTGCAGTGTCCAGCCACCAAGTCAGAGTTAGCACTGGTGTACAAAGGAAAGGACTGGAAACTGACTTCAGTACAGAATGTAGAAAGTGCATTGTGGGTGGTGTTGTGCACCCCCAGTGATTTCGAGAGCGTGCATGCACCATTGTTTTCTAACCAACACCAAACACTTTCTATAGAAAGCAGCAAGCTCCCCCACCCCATCTGTGTCTTACAGCCTTTGCAACATACTCCCAACTGTCTGCTGTTATGTATTGTGTGTAATGTGCATTGTATAACCAATAATAACCTGGTTCTTTTCCTATGTGTCATCCCCACCCGCTTTACAGTCCCTTCCGTCCAGCTCAGCCACCTGCACAGTGAAACAGGTAGCTCTATGTGCATTCAACGTTTCCCATATGCATTAATCGCACACCCTCTCCTTTTGTGTTAATGTTTATACATTTTTCTATCCTGTAGTGGTGACAAGACTGTCCAGAATGTGTGCACAAATTAATACATTGAGACAGTCCACCCCTCTTAATTCAAAGTTGGTTAATTCAATGTATCGGATTAATTTAAATCCCATTTAGACATTGACTTGCTGGATTTGGAACAATTATTTCTTAGCGCAACCGTTGACTTTGAATCATCAGGAGTAGACTTTCATGCACTGCTTATTTGCAAACCATTTAATTGAGGGATTGTTTCAGTTTGCTGGTGAATATTTTTTGGCTGGGTTTTTATTTTGGTGGATCCTCCCATTGCATCCTGGGACATTTGGATTCAATTTTGCATCTTTTATCCCAAAGGTTCTAGAATACCCACCTGGCATAGAAATCTAGAGTCACAAATCAGGATACAGAATGTTCCCAGAAGCAGCCAGTTCGATTGGCTTGATATGTTAAACAGCCCCCGTTAGTGGAATAAAAACCCGAGTTATTTCATTGAGTCAATGTTAGGAGGTAACCAAAAACCTGGCCAAAGAGGTGGGTTTTAGGTGTGGTTTAGAGAGGGGCCTCTCAATAGCTGGGACTATGGCCTTGTATGATCTCGAGAATCTCAGGTGAATGGGCATCTTTTGATACGAGAAACTCAAAACAGTTGGCAGGTATAAGACATTTGCAGTGACTCTGGAAATCTGACACTCAATCTTTGGTAAGTAAGCAATCTTTAAAAGGAAGTTCTCCCACAGTTTCCTTGCAAGATTTTGGAATACTGGATGAAGAAAGGAGTGCGATAGATGTTGCCATATAATGGGATTGTGAAGGGAATAGGTTGAGCGTGGGTTAACCACCCTTGAAATCCAAAGTTCGGACACTTTTTTTTTTCCAGTTGCAAGCCAGGCTGTCTGATGTGAATTCTATCCCACTGCCATGTTTAGTTAGTTTGTTTGAGCACGGCTCCTCTTGCATGGCACTGTTCTCTTTTTCACTGCAATGACATTGTGACACGCTTCCTGATTTGTGTGTGTGTGTGTGATTTGTGTCGGGTATCTCGCATACCTCCACTTTCTTTCTCTCACCTCAATCCAGGATGCTTCCCGCACATGAGTGAATTTGGGGCTTGTGTGTTCAAACAGACCATTCTCTTTCCAAAACGTTTCTCTGGTGACCTCCATTGCGACGTTAGGTTTGTGCAGGACTGTGGGTTTGCAGGGAACCATGACAGGCCTTGAGGCAGAATGTTCTAGATTACCTTGGACGAGTGACTGTAAGTGTTGGTAGCACTCATGTGAGCGTTAAAAGACTCTGACGAAGTATTACACTGAAGACCACTCTGCTCTTCAGTTAGCTGTTGTAAAACATGTCCTAACGCCATTGGAAGAAGAGTAGGGGAGTCCTGGGAAATATTTACCAATTAGTCATCACTAAACTGAGTCTCTAGGCATCTACCTCATCATTGCTTTGCTGTGTACAACACTAGCTGCTGCATTGGCATTCTCATCAAAAGTAAAGCATTTTGGAAGAATCTGATAATGTGGAAGGTGCTATATAAAGGCAGGATTTTTCTCACTCTATCAGCTAGGATTCTTAGATACGTATCGTGTTAAACTAATTTCACCCTCCCTCTTTCCCCATCTCGCGAGGCTAACCCAGAACTAGCCACAGGCTTGCTCTGTGCTATTGGCTTACAGCTCTCTGGGGGGGCTTGTTCAGATGCACCTTGAGAGGGCGTACGGAATGGGAGGAGGGATGAAGCGACGAGAAGCTTGAGGAACAGATGGAAAAAATGGGGAAGCAAAGTGTTTCAGATCCAGATTTGCCGTGTAACCGTGTGCAATTTTTATTTTGTTTGTGATGGGAAAAGCCTGAGGCGAAAACATAACCTCTCCAGGAGGCACCCTTCAGTGCACCCTTTCTTTCCTCAAGCAAAACCCGAGGTGCCATTTCTGGTCTGTTTGCCCAAACCCGACACTCATTGCAAGGTTGCCATCCTTTGTTGACGCAGTGCATCATTAGGACCTGCGCTGCCCAGAGCAACAGCAGCAAAGTCCATCCAATGATGCAGTGGGGCTTTTGGTGTGCAGTAGCATTGAGACCTCTTACCGTGCAGACCTTGCAAGTTTACTAGTGGAAGTTTCCTGGAGAAACCCGTGCGAGATGCGGGAAATTGATGCGTACGTATTTTTGCTTTTAAAACAGCCAAAAGCACCTATTGTCTCTGGGCTATTCTTTGATCCACAGTCTGTTTGTTTCGAGTTAGTTGATCTGAGCAGGGGCAGCGTTGGCTGACAGTGCCGTAGCTCAAAAGGGCTTTGGATTGAAAGGACCAGACATTTGTTACAAAATGAAAGTGGCAAACATTGGAAAGGTCTGTGAGCATCTGTAAAGAGGAAAATCAGGTGAATCCACCGACATAGAATTCTTCATCGATATCAGCTCTTGCTCTTGTGGAAGTTTAAAATTAACGACAAATTAATCTGCTGGGCATTTCTAGCGTAGGAAAACATGTAAGTGAAATATCATACAACAACCAAAAGAACTAAAATCCCAATACTCGACCCCATTTGACATTCATAACCAAATGCTTAGACAAAGAGCTGTTAAACAGCATCTTAAAGGACACAACGGGAGGGTAGATTTGCTGAGAAAATTCCTAGACCTTGAATTCTAGGTGGTAGAAGAAAAAGTCACCAACAGTGAGGTGAAGCAAGTGGGAGAAACACAGTAGTTGAGAAGTCAAAGTGTGGAAGGGTGGTGGCAGAGATGGAAGGGGGCAAGACCATGGAACCACATTTAAAAGTTATTGAAATCATTGGATGTTATGTTTGTTAATAGCTCCGTGCTACTGAGCCTCACAGGTCAAGAAAGTCTGCAGTTGTTCACCGAGCAAGGTTAGCCAGTTCCTGGGTGGAGCTGGACACTGTCCATTGATGCTGGAGTCTGTGATCTAGAGGAGGGATAAGTCAGACAGGATTCCAAACGGTGACTGACACTGGAGTTGACTAACTGGAAACTGCATTGTGGATCCGATAGTGGGGCAAGGAAGAGATTGGATTGTGTGTGTTGGGGGGGGGGGAAGAGAAAAAGGGTCAGCACTCAAAAAAGACAAGAAAACAGTTTTTCACCAAGTTGCTCAGCAGATCAGCTGTCCCAGTCGAACTAGTGAGAGGGCAACATCGAAAAATGCACACACTTTTCGGAGTGTTTTCCACTGTATCAAAGCTACAGAGGAAAGATAGGCCGGTGGAATGTAATGCAGGAAGGAGATGTGCTTCTGATTAATAGGGCAATTTAGTTTCAGAACAGAGATGCGACTAGACAGATCCATTCCTGGCGATTTTACTAGCATTTTCCAACCCAGTAAATGGTTTTTTTTTCCTTTCTCCCCCCGCCCTTCATACGTTCTCCCCAGGAAACAATAATCCAGCAGGCTTGTAAACAAAACCAATTAAAAGAACTGACTACTAATTTTTTTGTATTTGTGTGTGTGTATTTTTTTCTGCCCACCCTCTTCCTCGTCCTCACCCCCCCCAACTCCTTTCCCCCCTGTGCCCACCCTAGTGCCAGCAGTCAGCATGACCAGGCTATCCCGGGCTCGCACCACCTCTACCTCCAGCGTGGGATCCGGAGAGACCGCCCGCATCCAGCCGCCTCCCAACAACCAGGCCGATTCCGTGGGGAACAGTGACCCAGTCCAAGGCAGGTCCCCGACCATGGAGGTTTCCTGTTGAAACAGCAACTTGAGCCGTTAATTTATTACGTCGTTTCTTTTCTTTCCCCTCCGATTCAAGAGGTCGTCAATTTGGCTGAGTCGCAGCCTTAAAAAGAAGCCCAGCCACAGAGATCCAGTTTCCTTGTACAATTGTGTCTTTATAGTGCATGCCTGACTCAGTGTTTGACGCTCTCACACTGCAGTTGATTTCATTTCTTTGGGAATATTCATGTTTTAACCAGTGGTACCGTGTTACATCCCCGAATTCCCTGTGTGGTTAACCGAAAAGCCGTTCACACGTCTTCCCTGGATTTAAAGGGGCAGTGCTAGAGGTTTCCTCCATTTCCCACATCACCCCGCACTTCCCAACTGACCCACGCCCATTCCTGGTTAGGGACAACGGATAGAAAACAAATTACGGCAGATGCGCAGGAGCTGGACATCTGAAAATAAAAACAAAACGCGATGGGAACAGGTCAGATAGCATCTGCAGCGAGAGAAACGAGTTAACATTTAAAAACAATGACCCTGTGTCCAAACAGTTTGTGGACCTTGAAATATTTGTTCTTTCTCTCTCCACAGCTGCCAGACCTGCTGAGTATCTCCAGCATTTCTGTTTTTTTAAAGTTCAACAAAAAGTCTGTTTTTAATTCTGCCATTAGGCATTATTATTTGGTTGAGGTTATTTTTCTAGCTTTTCTGCATGTTCTTCTCCTGGATTCCAGTTAGTTCTCTTGAATGGATGGCTGGTTCGCAATACACTGGCTGAGAACTCTCCTCAATATCTCCCCTCGACAGAAATTGGTATCCCTCAGGTTAAATCACCACCAATTGTCTCTGTCTAATGAGAGAGCAGCCCTATGGTACGGCAAGACTGTGACAGCTTTACCCAACTATTCTAGCCTGGGAGCTTATGAATTTGGATTCTGAGCCACGTTTGACCTTGTAACCTAAAATGACAATGCAATGCAGAATCCCAAGCAACTTCAACAGTGTGAAGAGGCGTGGGTCCTGTGGAGGTTATTAAAGGCCCCATTGGCAATACTCAGTAGTTCTGATGTTCCTGACCCCAACCCCTCCTGCTTCAGGCAGCACCAATAGAAATGGCAAATTAATTTGGCTGCCCATCTCATTCTGTTCATGGAGATCTCTTTGCTGCAAAGTGGTAACTGGAAATCCCACTAATGCACTTCGGCATCCAAGTTATTATCAGTCGTTGCAGGTACAAATTTAGAAGCTCCAGCAAGTAACACCCTATAGTTTACTCAGCATTAGGAGGTCAGGCAGCTAATAGGAGTGTAGCAGATTGTAAACCCATCTCCACATTTAGAGCTATATATATAAAACTGAATGAGCTCTATCAGAGAACCTTGCTTATTTCTGTTCGTTTGTTTGGTGCAGCTCCGTGTGTGTTAGCTCAGCAAAGGTTGCGATTACAGCCTGGTCTCCATTTGGTGTCATGGTGGGATACTGCCAACAGGAATGATTTTAGACTATTCTTGGGTTTTTCCCCCTCAGCCCTTTGTATTCCCTTTAAATAGTAACTTGTTGTTTATTTCCCTTCCGCTTCCCCCTGCACCCTCCCTGGCTTTCTATGTTAAAGATAATGAGGTTGGTTTTGTTTGTTGTCGTTGTCTTGTTCATTGTACAATCAGACAACTGCACCGGCTGCAAGTCAAGCCCACACCCCATGTGATTAGTGTCTGTATTCATCTCCTGTGTGGCTTTTCTTTTGTTTGTTTTTCATACGGCTAAAGCACTAGCTTGAAAAGTACTTTTCAAAAAAGTTTAAAAGCTTCAGGCACCAAAGCTAGTTGTGTAAGCTTGTAGTGTCTGTGTGCAGGTTTGTTGTAATAAATTGCAGGCATTTGACACAATAACTGTCCTTAAGTTCTAGAGGTGAACAAAATGGTGACTTTGAAATAAAGACAGAGTTCTGGCTAGAATTGACTCCTGTCTGGTGTCCATGTTTTCATGCAGGGAAATCCATTTAACGCATTTTAAATAGTTGTTTGCTATTGTAGGACATGTGCATTGCGGTAAAAATGAAACTTTTTGTTTGCAGTCATCAGGACCGATTTGGAAATTTGGCATTATTTCATTTGTCCTGACTAACAAATTCTAGTTGCTACCTAGTTATAAACTTCAAGGGCGACTGGGATGGGCCGCTCCATATCCAATGAATGAATTAAAGATAAAAATTCCATCCTCGGTAAACATGCAACATCTGATACCCTGTTGTTCACACTGTAACTTATGCCGAGTTGTTATTCCTCACCATATGCTCAGTCACCTACACTGGCTCCTTTTTCAAATCCCATCATGGGATCTTACCTCCGTATCTCAGTTAACAAGGATTGACAGTTAGCTGTTCCTTCTGCATCTCAGTGCCAAGCGTAATCCAATCAGCAGCCTCCTCTCGCGGTATAAATTGTTGTTTCCGTTTTGAATGTGGTTTTCTTGTATGAGATGAAATGTCTCTTTTTATCCATGTTTAAATTCGGTTCATTGAGGGGATTATCTCTGCAATCACCCCCCCGGGCAGCCTGTGGATCCTCCGAGATCTCTGCATTCAATGAATTCGAGTCCCGATCTTAATTGCTGCAACATTGGTAACCATGTTTTCAGCTGCCTAGGGTTTTTTCACCTGTTCCATCTGTCCTAGAGAGACATTAACGCGTGGACCATGTGCAAATCCCACAGGTGTGTGTAGTTCCAGGCATTCAGGAGAGTCGTTGCTTAACGAATGAAAAGTTGTGTACACAGAGTGTGTAAGGTCACTGAGTATCATGCGGCGCAAGACATTTCTAATTCCAGTAGGAGCTTTGAAAGTCAGGTCGTTTGAATATCATTTAACTCCTTCCTTCCATCCTCACTTCCCTCCCTTGCAATGTCATCTCAAACTACATGATTGTCACCTCCACAAGGCTCAAGTGAAGTGATTGGAATACCCATGGCTCCTTGCAAATTTTCCTTTCGTCTCCCTTAATGAACCCCTTCTGGCCCAGCCTTACAAGCTTATTTGTTCTTCCATACATAATGGCTTTGGAACACTCTTGTGTTCTGCAATGAGTTGGTACTGCCAATAGATGGTGCTGTTGTCTGATTGGACGTAGCTCATCAGTAACTTGCAATGATATAGCGCCCGATTGTAGTGAAAATCCCCAAAGCATTTCCAGCGGCTGCAATGACCAAGCAAAATTTGACACCATGCCACATAAGGACATATTAGGACAGGTAGACCAAAGGCTTTGTCAAAGAGGCATGATTTCGGGAGCACGGCACTTTTAATGTAATTAAATGCCCCTAGGCACTTCACAGGAACATTATAAAATAGTATATGCCACCGAGTACAAGATATTAGATCAGATGGCTTTAAAACTTGGCCAAATGAGAGAAATTTTTAAGCAATCTTAAAGAAAAAAATTGGGGTGGAGAAGTTTCAGGAGAGAATTCCAGAGCTTGGGCCCAATGCAACAGAAGATGTGGATAGCAGTTAAACTTAGGAATGTGCAAGAGACCAGAATTAGAGATCTCAGAGGGTTGTGGGATTGGAGGAGAGCGCAGAGATAGGGAGGGATGAGGCGACAAAAGGATTTGAAAACACTGGATGAGAAATTTAAAATCAAGATGTTGCTTGACCAGCAGGCAATGTAAGTCAACAAACACAAAGCTGATAGAGCATCAAAAAAGCGGAAATTCAGATGGCAAAAAAAAAAGTGTTTAGGAACAAGGCAGGTTAAGGAATGGCTGCCAGTGATGAAATAATAAGGGAAGTGAAGAGGCCACAGGAAGTATGCAGATATTTGGAGGGTTGGAGGTGGTTACAGAAAATAGAAAGTGTAGGGCCAGGAATGGGTTTGAAACAAAGTTGAGAATTTTAAATCGCAAGGCATTTTGGGAGAGGGAGTTCAATATTTGGTTACAAGACAAAAGCTAATGGTTGTCTAGTATACAGAGGTTTCAACTCTCTTTATATGAATATTGCTAAAACAGGAGACATATTACTGAAGTTTTTTTGTCAACTATACTAATCAGGACAAAGGCAAGAATATAAAATTTCAAATGATGACAGTAATTTGTTCTACAGGAGAAAATGAGAAACATAAGCTCCCCAAATTCGCAGGTAATTCAGCAAATTCGGGAGGCTCGAACATACTTCTTTTGGTCAACCATTGCTGAACAATCCTGATGGTGCCAATAGCTACATTAAAAACTAATTTTAAATGATCACTTTAATGCACAGCAAGACTCAATTGCACTTGCTAAAAGTGACACGGGCACCCCATTCATTTCAAACAAAAGAGTAAAAGGAAAGTAGTAAACTCAGGAAAGAGCAAGAAGAGTTGAAATGGCAGTGGAAATCACCAAAAAATGAGAAGCTGATTGATGTCGTTGTCTACCACATCAACCTTGGAATAATCTGATCATTCTTCTGCCACTGAATTCCAAAGGTAACAAACTTATTCTGCAGCTGATCGCTTTATAATTCCCCGCTGCCACACACACACAAACCACTTTAAATCAAGTGCCTTTGACAGACTTTATTACATTATTCTGTTATTTGATATTTCTCAGTTAGGATTCTTGCAGAGGTAATTCACCAGTTACCATGGTGCATTTCCACATTTGAACCAATTGTTACATGAGCCATTTCAGAATTTCAAAGCAGGGTTTAATGGTTCTGGCTCAATAAACTCGTTGGCCTTTGGGACAGAGGGATTGTGGGGGTAAATTTGGAAAATGGGTTTAGAATGGGATATGGCAAATCCCGAATTCACTTGGACCCTTGTTTGGAGTGGGAGCACTGACAACCTCATTCATAGTTACTGTGATTGAGAGGGTGGAGTCAGGAAGAGGGATTGCCTTTTAATTGGACTCTAAGGGAATCAAGGGATATGGGAATTAGGAGGGAAAGTTTTTTTTTACGTTTTGATGGGCATGCCAGTATTTGTTGCCCATTCTGAATTAATCTTAGGTCACATGGCTTTTAAGAGTCATTTGCTGGACAATCTTAATTGCACTAATAGTGACATTAAAAACTAATTTAAAATAATGACTAAAAGAATGCACAGCGTGACTTGTGGATAAAGGCAAAATACTGCGGCTGTTGGAAGTTTGAAACAAACAT